AAGATCATCGAATCGCTTCGAGCGGACGCCATCGCACAGGTGTTACAATGCTCTCAGCCTCCCGCATGGCATGCAGACTCTCAAACAGGTATTTCCATTATAGGTGAGAGCTTTATCCTTCATTTATCTTCCACACAGTATCGAAGCTTAACCCTCGATAGATGCTTGGGATTCGACGATACTCGATAGCGAGGAGTCACAGACTATTTCCTCGGGACTGTCGTCACGAGCATCGGATACTCCAAAGAGCGTGGAAGGTAGCGGCGAAGCACCGGGGGCAATCCCGAACGATGGTATGAGCGGAGAAGATAGAAAATGGCAGGCTGGCGATCTTGACGATGATGGTGATAATGGGGGAGTTCCAATTTAGGAGATTTGTGATCCTCGGATGAAGGGTTGAGAGAATCAGACCAGTTTACGTTGTAATCTAATGCCTGAGTGGTTTTCATACTATGATTCGGAAACTCGCGCGACTAACGACATTAATCAAGTTATTTTACAGCCTGGAATTTCCTTGAAATACCCTCTGCGAAGTTTGCATGTTTGCAGTCTCTTCGAACTCAATTTGCCTATAGAATCGGTGCTCCGACCTTGTCGCCAGAGCAGCGTTTTTACCTGCTGAGTCAATATCATGAATTTTCACTAACAGGAATTCGGGCCGCAGGGAAGTTTATTCAAAAAGAATAATACCATTCAATATAAGCAAATAACCCAAGTTGCTATCTATCCGTTCTCCTTTCATTCTTCTTCCTGTTCGTAGTTCGAGTGCTGTTTCTTCATATGCCTCTGCCAACTCCACTTCAGTGTGAATTTTCTTCCAGGACAAAATTGGCATGAAAAGTCGCCACTGGCAACGTCTGGATCAGGCGCCCAAGTTCTTTCATGAGCGTCATGATGCCGTTGCAAGTCGCGACGATCCGACATTGACTTGTCGCAATATTTGCATTCAAATGTTTTTTTGTGGCTCCTCATATGCCTCCTATAGATAGGTGATTAGAATCAACTCACTGAAGCCGGCTTTCCCATTCTGAAAAACAAGGACGGAGCGCAGAAGGCTCAAGGAGAAGGGGGGGTATCCAACTGACTTGAGTTTGTGATGATCCTGATGGCCAGCTTTACCTCGGCACGCCTCATGTTGACAATAATGCAACCCGTCATCTGGCTCCTGGCTAGGGAGAGAGTACGAGATTCCCGCTTGTTGCAAGTTTCCCCAGACCTGGTCAAATGAACCGGTTGCTGCCTGGGGGTAAGATTCAAGAGCGTTTTGCGACCGCTCCTCAGCCCGAATACCAGCTGTTGCTGCACTCCATCCGCCTTCGACGGCATCGGCAAATGCATGAGATTGTGAAGTATGAGCACTCTACAGGTGAGATACCTCATCCATGATGCCAACGCCAGAAGTGGTTTGCAATGCATCGCTGGTTTCACCCGAGCGATGCAATGCACTGGACTCAGCAAGCCACAAATTGGGATCCTGACCGACGAGGAGGTCGTTTTCAATCCCCTGGTATGGGAGATTTCCAGTAACTCTTGTTGCAGGCGGAGCGAAATAGTTGTCGTAATCTTCCTGGGATTGTTCATCATTTGGTAGGGTCCAGACCTCCAGGGGAGTATTTGACGTGTAGTCATTGAAGAAGTCTGAACCCATGTTGATTCCGATGATTGTGCTCTGAGCTGGCAAGAAAAATTGGGCTAAGCTTAAGGGATGGCAAGGCCGTTGTTTGCATCAGTTGCACGAGCTCGACAGCTTCCTGTCTATTGCCAATTTTATAGCGGGCAGGGTGCGCATTAATGAAACACGACTTGAACATGGATAGGGACTAGATTGGTTAAACTTCACCGCCTAGTCACTTTTTGGAGCGCTACCGACTCTGCGGAAAATCGAGCCGCCTGACAACTTCTACAAGTTTCGGTCTTTGAACACGTCACCTTACAGGGGAGCACCCCAACAAAACCAGCATATCCATTCTGTTCAGAGTACTCTCTGCCTTCCGCTGTAGCGTAATTGTGTGATTGGATGCTCGGCGGACAGACAGAGGCCACAGTATTGGTTTGTGCCGTCTTCTCGGCGTTTGAGTGCATGTCCCGTCTTCGTTAATCAAAGCCGGTTCTGCCGGATGTGTTCTAATTTGGGTTGACATGCGTGCCCGGCCTCCCGCATATCCTGCGGCCTCCCGCATATATCCGGCCTCCCGCATATGTCCGGCCTCCCGCATATCTCTGCCCCGCCCGCCTGCCCCGACCCCGCCCCCACCCCCCACCCACCACGACACGGGAGAACAGGTGTTACTGCGGCATTCTTTGGTGTCAAGGCCCATGGGTTTTTTCAGACTCGGTGTCCTTCACCGTCTCAACCTAAGCTTTGTCTAGTACAAGAAGCACCCGATAAGATGCCAGAGTGAAATTGGGTCAATCTGCCTAGATTTGATGAAATACTGTATGCAAAGGGATCTCCGCTTATTACTGATAAAGCTCGTGTAGGGGTACGCACGGGGTGGTACTATCTTTACCCATGCCGATCCTCCCAACCCCAAACGTGTCTGCTAGGACGCTTCTTGTTGCGTATGTACGCCAATTAGCCACATTCAGAGCACATGTGGAATCCCCTTTTGGCCTGTTTGATACTTCTCTACCATTCTCAATCGTTCTCGCCCCTCTTGTTACTCGCTAGACAATCCGACCTGACAGTATTCGCTCATTTTGGAGGGAGTTCACTTAGCCAGTATGTCACAGTCTTACTCATGTGACGTAGGATATTATCAAGGCTGATTTATTCATATTGTATTACTGCTCTGCGAAATCTAGTGCAGAGCCCTCACTGTTCTTCTTATCTTCCCTCTCAGTGTTTTTGTAGTCGTCTCCGGCTTGTAGCACCCACATGTTCGACCCGGCCTGGTCGGTGTTGTTTGAGTGAATCCCAGTCAAGTCTCCTTCTGGCGCAAGCTGGATGAGCGGCCATCCATCAGCATAGCGTTTTAGACCACTGAAACCCACTAAAAAAGGGACAGCAGGGAACACTCAAACTGCCACTCAAGCTACATTGCAAATTCGAGGAGAGGTGCACCAGCATGATGGCAATTCCTTAGCTGGATACTTATTTGATGCTTCTGTACCTGGCTCTTGATGTTGGACAGCGATGGGTGACGTACGTGGAGACCGAGAGCTTGCGCTCAGCTCGTCTGTCTACCAAATTATCTGTGGTTCACGAACGGCTTGCTTTGTAGCTGAGGCTGAGACAAATGTCCTGCCTGCCGGGGCCGAGTTCAGCGGTAGGACCCATATGTCGACAGTAGCTGCGAGCAGGGGGCGAGTGCTTCATGTGGGAGGCCAAACAGCTTTGCTTCTCAAATGCAGGTCTTATGTTCTTGTCGCAAGCGAGTGGCTTGTTCCGCGACATCTAAGGATCGATAACCTTTTCGATTCTTTATGCTTCTTCCTGGAACTGATCTCTTTAAATCTCCCGAAATGTCAGCTATCTCAGTAGCCCCATGCCTTTTACCTTTCACTTTCTCACATAAGAAGCATCTAAAGGATTCTATGTGACCCAAGCAGCCCGAAAACCTGACGATCAAATCATTCAAGCATCTTTTTGTAATCCTTTGAGGCAGTCGAGTGTGGACCATTCCGAACCGTGGGCTAGGCCTGGCAGTCCAACGCATCCGGCTCCTAGGCGACAGCATGTGTTTTCGTACTGCTGGTAATGAGCTCCAAAATCATATGGAGTACCTTCGAGAGAACGACGACGGCTTCCGAAGCTCTGGCGACATAGATGCGGCGCCACTTTTCACAGATGCCGCACGACGTGAGGTGGCAAGATCTCACACCGCAGTTGAGACTGAAGACCAGAGGCCATTTACTCAGTACGGTCTTCTCGCAGGAGACATTCACGGGCCAAGTGCCGATCCCCGCATTTTCTTTAACGTTTCAGCACCGTCGAGTACATTCATCTGCGGCAGCCAAGGGTCAGGGAAAAGTCACACCCTGAGCTGCCTTCTGGAGAATTGCCTTATTCCGTCCGAAGTCAACACCCTCCCGAATCCACTGACTGGCATAGTCTTCCACTATGACACGTTTGTGTCAGATTCGGGAGGTTCGCCTTGTGAGGCCGCCTTCCTCTCGTCGAACCATAATATCCAAGTCAGAGTACTGTGCGCACCTACGAATATCGGACAGATCAGGGCAAGTTCTCAAAGTTTTCTCATTAATTCGATGCACTAATAGTTGTAGAGAGTCTATGCCAAGCTACCTAGCGTCAAGATTGAAGAGTTGCGCATCAACGAGTCCGATCTTAATACGCGAAGAATGCTTGATCTCATGGCAGTCAGCTCCATTCAGGGAGCACTGCCTTTATACCTGCATGTAGTTCTTCGAATTCTGCGCGATCTTCGTATCGAACAGCAAGCTACGGGCACGGCATTTGACTATGGCAAATTCAAGAGGGCTCTCGATGCAGAGGCGTTGAGCGAGGGCCAGCTAGCTCCTCTGCAACAACGTCTTGAAACGCTCGAGTCTTTCATGGTTAAGAAACAAGCAATGTCTTATGATATGTTCAAACCAAAGAAAAGCTCCACTAGTAACGAAAAGAAAAAGGAAAAGGGGGGCAAGGGGAACGTGTGGGTTCCAAAGGTATGGCTACAAACACCTTAATTATGGCAGTTGAGTACTGATGTAAACAAAAGGCAAGCCAGCTCACGATTGTGGACCTGTCGTGTCCCTGCGTCACCGCCGAGATGGCCTGCTCTCTCTTCGGCATATGCCTTAGCCTTTTCCTCGAGCAGGACACCGAGATTGGCAGGGTCGTTGCACTGGATGAGGCTCATAAATACATGACTGGCAGTGCGGAATGCCAGTCCTTGACTGAGTCGCTACTGTCAATCATTCGATTGCAGCGTCATATAGCTGCTCGTGTCTTTGTGTCAACGCAGGAACCGACAATCTCGCCGCATCTGCTTGACTTATGCACGGTGACAATCGTTCATCGATTCACTTCACCAGACTGGATGCAAACATTAAGAAAGCATATTGCTGGGGCATCGTTATTGGTCGATGATGAGTTGGTTGACATCGACTCCAGCAGCAAAAAGAATCAGGCCAGGGGCATCTCGGGCATCCAGCCACTGCAATGGCGCCAAGAGGACATCATCGCCAAAACCTTCTCGCGCATTCTCACCCTTCGAACGGGGGAAGCTTTAATATTTGCGCCAAGCGCAATCATCGGTGTCAACGGGAACTTTGAGTTCACGCCTAGCATCAGTGACGAGGATGAGGTAGAAGACTCCGGTCTCACTAGCGACACTTGTTCCTCTGAGCTGCGCGGGTTGGATGAGGAACACGGTCAAAGCGCCGTCGTCGAAGCTGAGAAGCCCTGCGAAATTACTGGCGCCTGTCTCCACGGTACCAGCAACAGACATCGACAAGAACACAACGCAGCTCAGAGTGACGAGCTCATCCGACTCGGATCCGGCGTTCTCATGGTCCGAATTCGAAAGAGACTCACCAAAGACGGTGGCCGGAGCATCTTAGCCGCTTGAAGAATGAGAATTCCGTACCTGTTGCTCTAAAAGATTTTGAGGTCATTTTGTGACTGTACTGCTCTCACGGTCCAGCAGCTGAACGGGCAATAGATCAAGAATGTGATGCGTCTGGCGCTGAGTTTAGTGATAGATCAGGGTCTTGCCTTAACGCAGTCAACCTTGCTCAACACGTTTGAGTTCACGACGCCAAGGACGCGATGCATGGGAGAAGACAGCAAGTAGGTGGTTGCGGTGGAAGATAGAAACAAGCGCAGGTGGGTGAGTTCCCGGTGAATAAGTATTGGTTCTTTGATACGTCCATGACTCTGCATGAAATATACTTGATGAAGTTGCACAGTAAACACAATCATTTAAACATCTCAGCAAGTCTAGCTCGAATTCGAGTTATCAGCACAGCTCCAGGCGCTCGCGCCGCCCGACGCCGAGTACGAGTCCATAATGGACACAATAGAGCCATACGTGCCACCAACCATGAGAAAGGCTCCCATGAGGATGACGGCCGCCGCCCAAAATGCCCGCAGACGCCATTTTTTAGTCGGTTGGGCCTTGCCGACCGACCAGTGGTCGTAGAACCACATGAAGCCCATGAACATGAAGGACATGAGGCAGCCAAACAGGGAACCGATCAAGGAAGTGAGGGAGCCGAAGATGGGGATAGCGCTGGCAACAATGTAGGCGACAATGGTGATGCCCAGCGTGCAGCCCATCCAGCAGAGCCAGTGGGTCATGGTGTTGGCGGTGAGATGCTTCGAGTCGCGCAAGACGCGGACGAGGAGGTACTTGGCGGGGATCTGACATTGCGTTAGTTTTCATGGGGGGTATTGGTCCAGAAAAAAAAAGACGTACGTGAACAAAGAGTGTCGCTGAGACGAGGAGACCAGGGAGAGCCAGGCCGTAGCTGACCTTCTTCAACAGACCGCCAGCACTGCCTAGGGCGGGCGTAGCCACGTACGATCCGCAGAAGTAGTACACCACAGTACCGACAACAATGTACGTGCCCGTGATGGCGCACTGGCTGGTGATGACGGAGCGCGTGTAGTGTCGAGGGTCCCTCATCTCTGCAAAGAGGGAAAAGTACGCCGGCACGCCCGCATAGGCGAAGACAAAGCCGGACAGGGCAGTCGCCGCATCGACAAAGCGAGGACTGCCAAAGAGCTGAAAGTCAGACTTCCACGGCTGATCATCTGGGGCGTCGGTTGGCTTGTCCTGCACACCGACGGCAATGGTCACAGTGAAGACTGGTCACGTGTTAGAATTTGAGCATGCCAAGAAGGAGGCCGACATGCGATACGTACCGGCTGTGAGGATGGAAGCCAGCCCGATCCAGGCGAGCCAGCTGATGCGACCAAGTGTGCGGATGCTACCCAGGCCAAAGGAGGCGGCGGCAGCAACAGCCACGAAGACGGCTGTGCAGGCTCCGTGGGCGGACACGGCGTTGAGGCCGATGGAGATGCCCAGCATGGCGGAGCCGGCGATGAAGATCCAGTCTGGGAGGTTGGTCAGGAACTTGCAAGATAGGTTTTCGACGGTCCCTTACAAATCACAAAGATGAAACCAAACACCTCAAAACCCGCCCGGCCAAAGAGCAGCCTGGCGGCATCGTCGATGCCATATGTCTCAAAGTGGCGATGCTTGAACGTGCCAATAACATGAGACGCCCATCCTGTCAGCACCGCGATGAAGCATAGCAGGATAATACCGGGAATCAGACCCAGCGCATGGAAAGATGCAGGGATTGTCAAGATGCCCAGGCCAATCTGCGTCTTCATCATCAGGGCGACGGTCCCCAGCCAGCCAACCTACGTGGCGCGCGTCAGCAGGGTGCAGCACGCAAGAGGAAAGATTCTCACATTTCGATAGTCGGGACCGTCATCAGTCCTGTCACCAAAGACGTGACTCTGCTGGACCTCAGCATCGTCAGCCTTGGAGCGTGGCATGTCGAGGCCGTCGACCTCCTTTGTGGACTTGTTCATGGGGAGCAGCAGGAGAGGGAGAGGGAGGAAAGTAGTTGTCGAGAATTTGAAAATTTCCTGGGGAATCTGGGGAAGAAGGCTATTTTGTTCGAAATGAAGGGAGTGTCTGAGATCAAGAAAATACGAGGGTTTGACAAAGAGATTGATGGTCGAGTGCACCCTGACGCTGAACTAATAGCACCCTTGCGTTCCGGCGCCGGCTTGAGGAGAGCAATGTCCTGCTCCACCAGCGTCATGCTATCGCCTCATTCCTTCGTGTGCATTCTTCTCCTGATGGAGCCCGTCCTTCCGGGATCGGGGAGGGTCGTGGATTTCCATGCCAGTGAGAGGCGAGGCTGGGCTCATGGTGCTCCATGATTCCAACGCGCGGAGGGTAACTTGTACGTAAAGGCGCTCCACATCGGTGCGTGCCGTTGGATGCGTCGCGACACGAGACGTCGGACCTGCGCCGGGCCTTCTCTGCGGCAATGCTTCTGGAAAAGGCCGATCCGCCTTCTTCTGCGTCTAGCGGTCTCCACCGAGGACTCCAATCTTGTCGTTGTGCCGGGCGATCCTGGCCTTTGTTTGATGAGTTTCCGCCCGTCTATCCGTCCTACCGCGCGGCCGTTGGCAGCTTGCACAAGTCGGCACGTCTCGACTCTATGAGTGAACTTTAACGTTGGAGGTGGACTGGAATGAACTCTGCCAGGGTACATGTAAGCACGCGGACGTCCATGTCAAGAGAGGCCACATCCTGCTCCTCGGGGCGTCCGCTCTAGCGTCGCCACGGGCACAGACCTCCGTCGAGTCCAGTCTGTGTTAAAGTCCCGGTCACCGGGGCGGGCTGGCCACAGGGATCGTGCCATCGGCCAGACATTTACGGAGTATTAATAAGTATTGTGTGCCTTACTCGTGACGGTTAGAGGTTTGGAGGCCTGTTGGAGAAGGGTGAAAATGCAAAGATTTCCAAGGACGTACGACGTCATATCCACATGGCGTCACTCACCTACCCTACAAAAAGCACGTTGCATAGGTATCAATAACAGGAGTGCTCTGGCATATAATCGGAACTGGGTGAGACTCATATCACGGAATATTAAGTTACTGGAACGTATCCAAAATCGGGTCAGGTTGTCTCCAATGGATTGCGCTACTCTGTGCAATTCCGTGAGCCAGTTCCCCAAACTTTGACCAGGTTGGGATCTACAGCCGTTGGACAGAGCAGTCGGACAGAGATTTCCTTGGAAGCTAAGACGTGAAATTTGTTAGTCAAAGATCCTTTGATGCCTGATTTAGGCTCCACAACTTGCTCAGCTGCCGGGGCAAGCGCTGGCGTGAAGACACGCCCTTGAAGGCGTCAGACGGCAGCCCAGCGCCCAACCGTGGAGAAAATGGTAGGACTGGGGTAATAAACACACCAATGTACGTCTGCGGAGGCTTGTATTTGGGATCTTCACCCCAGATCTTCTGAGGGTCTGGCTATTCAAAGAAGATGGGGAAGCGCGGAAGGAAAAGGCGGTTGTAGCCGGCTGCCGACGGCTCAGAACATCACCCTATGTCCAGTGGGGCAGGAAAGTCTTGTTCAGCTGAACTCTACGTTTCTCTTGTCTAGTATATGTGGATTCTTGCTCGGCTGATTGTCGACTAACGTGAACCAGGAGGGTATTAGTGGGATGATGATCGAGTCCACGCTTGGCTCTTTCTGGGCCACACTACTGAGGGTGGTAGAGAATCTCATGACCAATAGGTTCCCGTTCTAACCGAGAGATGGGGAATAATACCGTTGTTAATGACCGAGAGGATATGCCCCGAGAAGAAGGCAGCATGGCACATTGTGCTCGACAGGCTAACTCGAGGTGAGTTACAGCCAAAAGTCCGCGACCTGCATAGCATGCGCTGTCGCAGGGCTTGTGTCAAACCTTGACTCAGAGATCATATCTAGGAGTCTTTCATCATGGAATTTCATGCTCCCGATATTCGGCGCGAGCGTTGTCATTGTCAAGACAACTAAGCTGAGTCTTTCCTTGTTGAATCGGCGGATGCGCGCTGATTGGCTGTTGCCCGAATCTTGGCGGATAGCTGCAGGTCGTCCATTACTACGAAGGGGTCATGTCGTCCTTTACGATAGCGGAAAGAAGTCGACAAGCAGATTAGATCAAATAAAAATACCTCATGTCATGGATGGGAAAATGCTCAAGGACTAAGGTGGACTATGCCCTTCGTCTTCCGGGATCGTTGGTGAAATGAGGTGGACCTGGAACGGAACGAAAGGGGACTATCCCCTGCTGAATGAGTCTCAATGAATATTTCGGCCCAGCTGTGGATAGAAATGGGCATTGTCTAAGAAGAATTATGAATAACAACTACATAACACAAGAGGGCGAGAATGAGGTGAAATTCAGCATGCGATCAGAGACGACCCAATCAACCACGGACGACAGATGTGCGAGCTTCGAAAATGAGAGACGGGAATATGGATCCACATGAATATAATTAACATTTGGTCCTTTTATCGTGATCTACTATGTCGCTTCTAGCCCAAAGACATGAGAAGCGATTTCTATTCTGATTCTTCAAGATAATACACCTGATGGTGCTGTTTCGTTCTTCCAAGAGTCATCATGTAGAAGAGAGTTGATGTATGCACATGTAATTCTCATAAGCAGTGATTATACCGCGGTGTTCAAGAAGCCTTGGAGTGTCAGCCTATCTGACCGTATTGAGATGATGATGTCGTGGTTAGACGTTGACAGTAAAGATGGTCTAGCTGTTGGATCTGATTTCGCAGCCATCGTATCAGACTAAAATACTACGGCTCGTGAGTCATCAAGCGTCTTCCAAAATCGTAGTTGTGTTTCATAACCCACGAGCATCGACTAACAAATTCGGGACTCCGGAGAGCACACCGGGAGAAAGGTGGAGACATCGGCGTTGGCAGTCCGGCCCCGGGCGGGGTGGCTGAAATTGCACTGAACTACCGGACGAATGCCGGCTCGGCGATTGAACACGGAGGAGCCGTATTTAGAAAAGTGAGCATGCCACTTATTCGGTTCGGTTTGAAAGAGCGTCGTCCCGTATCTCTTACTACCTCAATAGGAAGACGGCGGACTCTCTCATACCCCTGGTTCACCACTAGCGCAAATGGCGCTATCGAAGCGTGAGCCTCTGGGCCTTGCCTGCGGAGACGAACAAAGAGGGGAAGGCGCCGCTTATCATAACCTTTTATACCGAATAACCGAGCGAACAGACAGAACGAAAATGGGGACCTCAGTCTTTCACCCTCTCAACCATAGCATGGATGCATGAATTTCCCCATGGGACATGTGCGCAGAGCTCGGCAGATGGGCTTGCCGGCAGCAATTCGGTGACCAATGCACCGAGGAGCCAGAACCGGCGCATATTTAAGCATAAACACAGATCCTTTCCCCCATCCACTTCGAGCACTACACCCTCTTCCCCTTCAACATCATGCAAATTGGCCGGATATGCAGCGTTCTGAGAGCCACGAGCGTGGCTCTCCTGGCAACCACCGCGTCAGCAACAGCTCTGGCACCACGTGCTGAAGCCGGCCAAGACTGGGCTAGCCTTGAGATTCTCACCACAGCTGCCGATGCGCAGGTACAGCCTGTTCTCGATGGAAAAGAGGCGTACATCGCTGGGTCGCCCCGTAGTCTTACCCGCGCCGTCCGCCAGCTAGTCACGCCATTTGTCTGGCCCAACTCTACACACTACCACGATGAGACCCTCCTGCCTCACATTGAGGAGATGCTTGCTGTCCTCACCAAGGTCCAGCACTGTGATGGCACATACACAGTTGGCAATTACCACTCCCCGCCTGACACAGGCTTCCTGATCGAGGATTTTGGCATCATGGTGCGCATCCTTGAGGAAGACGACCACGAGGACTCGCAGGCTTTTGCAGACACCATCCGCGCTATCCTTCGCAAAGCCGCAACTGGTCTGGCCAAAGGCGGCATTCACACGCCAAATCATCGATGGAAAGTCTGCGCTGCCTTGGCGCGCATCAGCCGCATCACAGATGACGAGAGCTTGATCGAGCGTATTGACGGGTGGCTCGCCGAAGGCATCGATATCGATGCAGATGGCATTTACTCTGAGCGCAGTGGCATCTACTACGCGGCTGTCTCTAACCCGTCTCTTCTTACTGTGGCGCGCGAGCTCAACCGCACTCAACTAATTGAGCCTGTGCGCAAGAATCTCGCCTTGTCCATTGAGCACGCCGAGCCCAATTGCGAAATCGAGACCGTTCTCAGTCGCCGCCAGGATCAGAACCAGTATGGGAGCGATAACATGCATGAATTTTACCCGCAATTTCGGGAGCTGGCCTTGCTTGATGGCAATGGTCGATTCGCCGCCATGGCGCGGCTCTTGGAGGCGCGTGTGCCCAAGCAACTAGGAGACTATCTGGCCAACCTCATCGAGCAACCTGAGCTGGCAAAAGAACTTCCAGCGCCCGAGAAGCCTTTTGTCGACTTTCAGAAACTCTACCCCACTGCGAGCCTGGTCCGCGTGCGGAACGACAAGCTGACCATATCGGCCTTTGGCGGGACAGACTGGTACCACAAGGGGGAGCAGACGGAGTTTTACAACAGATTCGGTTCCGGTCTGTCGACGAATCCGTCCCTGTTACGCGCCTGGAATGGCAATCTAGTCCTTGAAGGCATCCGGATGAGCGCCAACTTCTTCAGCATGGGCCACTTTAGATCCAACGGGATCGAATTCGACGACGAAACTGGTATCACCAAGCTAGGCAGTACGATGGAGGTGCAGTACTACCTACCCATGCCAACCGACCAGCTCAACAAGAATGGTACCTACGATCTATCGAGGTCGGTCGACGGCCGCTTCTACGCTAGCCTTGACTTTGAGAACCGACCCGCCAGTGTGCGTCGCCTCAAGACGGACGTGACGATTGTGCCGACAGACGCAGGCTATGATCTCGAGTTTGAAGTCACAGGCGAGAAGGACGTGGACATCACGCTTGAGGTCACCTTTAGGGAGGGTGGCGAGTTCAGTGGTGTCGAGCCATCTGTGGACGCTGAAGGGAACACTATCTACCATCTCAAGGAGGGCGAGGGCCAGTACACTAATGGCAAAGACACCATTACCTTTGGACCAGGCAACGGGAATGGCATCTTCAATCCCGATGCTGGCGAACAGTATAGCTGGCATAATGGCAACCTCGTACTGGAAGGGCACCATGTCTATGTCACAGGTACGACGCCGATGAAATACACGCTCAACTTGGGGTTCTCCTGATTTGGCGTGGCGGAAATAGGGTTCTTCTTTGGATCGTGAATAAAGACACAAGTAAATCTATGTTTGGAATTGTTGTATGATGTCTGGCATATCCCGCTCGTTCACTCAGTAAGGATATATATCGCTAAGATCATCCCGCCCACAGGACCTATGCAAGGAGCTGGGGAGGAGGTCGGCATATGTCGCAACCCGAAAGATTATCTTCCGCCTAGCACTGCTGTTCTGATTCTGTCAAGTGCTTTCGGTCACTGTCTGAAGCTTCGTGGACATATCGAATTTCTGAAGGCCGCTATCGTTGACAACAGGATTCTGGCATGCACTAAATTAGCGCGTGCCCTTGAAATGGTATCAAAACCCGAGCGCCATGGCCTTCCCAAGGAGTGTATATCTTCACATCCTCGCTGTAAATAGTTGCAGGTAGTGCCTAGATTCGCATTTCCCGGGGTAATGGATCTCTGTAGTGCTCACTACACTGTAGTTGGCGTCTTATTAAACTCGAGAGCGTCTATCTCAGTGTAGACGCGCGCAAGCTCGTGAATGCATTCTGTCTGTGTCAGCAAGATGCCTTGAAGGGGGTACTTGTGTCAGGCTTTGTGTGATGGAGTTTTTTAACAGTATTGTGCAACCTTGATGTAGCGATAGCGTTGAATACCGTCACCTTGGGGCTCGTCTGAATAGGTGTAGGCCCTCGTTACCAATGAAAAGGAATGAGGGCCACCCGCCAATAGATGGCACAGATGTGCCAGCCTAAATTTATACATGGCGCAGACTGTTGGATGATGCTCGGAAATGATGCGCTTGTGCCCGACAAGGCGGCCACGCAACAACTCGATAAGACGGAAAAATAGGCCGTAAGCCGAAAAAACATGCGGATGCAAGCGCCACTCAGTGGTCACACGGTTTAAACCGTACCAAAAGTATGCACGGCATTAGAAAGTGTGCCGTATAACGTATCGAATGCCAGAAGACGACCCAGTATCGTGACTTTTGGGACACTTAGATGATGTGTATCACGTCTCCAGGTGCTACTGACATTTATGGGCCTGGCCCAAAAGATAACATAGGCGCATCTAGGCGCAGGAAAGAGGATCGCGGACATTCCGGTAATCTTGAGGGTAGACAAACATATAAAAGAATGACGATTAACAACTATCTAATAAAGAGTGACAGGCTTATATTCCTAGGCGTGAGGGCGCTTTAAGCGCTGTAAAAGAGCGAACTAAATCAAATCTTATAGAAACTAGTCAGCTAGCCGCAATCATTTAGCTTTCCCTTAATATCGGGGATGATAAAACTCACACTAAAACAACTAGTATTCTCGTCCGAGTCAACCTGGGCAGCCCACGCCGGGGTCCCCACTGCAGCAAGGCTCACAAAATGCAATGCTGTCCTTTCTGTAAGTATATAAAAATGAAGCAATATAATAAGACTAGGAAAGCAAACCATGCGGCAGTTGTAGTAGGATTGATACAAGTTAAAACACTGCCCTCCGTACATCGAGTGAACGCAGAGGGATCCTCACAGCCAGGAGGTGGTGCGAGGAATTGGCGCTTTGCGTACATATCTTTCGGCGCTGCGAGAGTTCCGCTGAGGCAGAAGGCGAGGAGACTCAATTGCAAATGCATATTTATGTCTTTAGGAGGCGAGTAGTCTGCTTGAAAAATAGGATAATTTTGGAGAAGAAATAAGTACTTATTGCTGTTGAAAATCTATGACCCTCCGTCCTAGAAGCCGTTCTTATACTATTACTTCTTCTTCCTAATTCCTTAAAATTCAGGCATTTCAACATGTAGCTTCCAAGAAGGCCCGGATAAAGGAGGTAGAGCTCTCACACACACAGATCCACAAAAGGATCTTCGCTAACGTCATGAGCCATAATTAGCTTACATAGAAACACAAACAATTAGGCGGGAGCTCGCACGCATAGGGATCCACTAAAGGATCTTCGCTAACATCACCAACATAATGCTTTCATTTATTGCAGTAGTACGTAAGCCCCTGTCTAGAGGCCTGGGAGGGAGGTCTTTCGCGTTAACCGATTGGTTCATTACTAGACACCTTGGTGGCATAGTGTTCATCACAGGCATCGTGATAGATTACACTCTTTTGCATGGCGTAATAGTAGCTAAGCGCCCCTATCTGCAACGCATATGACGTTATCGACACGGTAGACTACGTAACACAAGTATATACGCTCGCTTTTGAAACTGGTGTATGTCACCACCGGGGCAGGTCAACCCTGCGGCTTTCGCAGCAGTTATAATAACTCCTAATAGCATGCCCTCCGCCCCACCCGAATCTCGAGTTTAAGAGGCCCTCTATTAGTGGCTCGACCTTATTTTGCCGTTTTTCGCGCCTGAAATCGATCGTAGTTAGATCATGCCACCTAACCCTGATGCCGGGAGACGTTGGATCAGCGGCCGCCCAAGAGTGGTGCACGATTGCCAGGGGGCCCTGGCCGGGTGGGAGGGGCGTGACAAGTGCCGAGTCAACGGGCAGCTCGGCGCCTAGGCGCGGGCCGCGTGTCGCCGTCGAGTCGACATACGCAAGAAAACTAGAACCATGTACGGCTATCTTTCGGGGTCTTTCACGAGAGAAGAGTAAAGAGGTGTAAAATAGTTGCGGCTTAGTAAAGAAGGCGCATGTAGGTGTTAATTGATAAAGTTATTACATCTTATACCTGTCTTATCTGCTCTTAGTGAATTGGTTCTTTAGGATCGACGGCCCGGTTAAATAGTGCACCCTCCTAATTTGAAGAGGAGACGTAATTTTCACCGAGGATTCTTGTCACCGACTCTGTCTATGATGTCATAGCTATCTTGTATCGCTGACGCTGCCCACGTCGTTGCATGTGCTGAAATAGGTTTCCCCCATTGGACGGGTATGTACGGAGATGATCCAGCCGGTGCCACGTCTTGGTACGATGTGTCACAAAAGAATGAATCCAAGCCACTCCGAGAGTCTGTTTGCAATTAGATGTTTATTGGGCTAGACCGCTAGACCGACAAAGTCTCTCTTATCATATTGCTTGATCTGGGGAGCCTGAAACAGTAAAGCTGACTGAAGCCACTGGTACCCATTCGAACATCTATAGTGGTGACGGCGCGACATGCTAAATGGACTGCTGTCGCCAAGGTTAGTCTTGAAGCTTGATCGAAAAGAAGGAAGCGCTTTAAGTCAAGTTCATCGTTCCCGCGCCTCGACCCAACGCCCAGCCACCAACAGACAAAAGCCCGGACAGAGGAATTACCAGACCATTTGCACAACACCGTTGTCTATGACAAAGGATTTGCATATGTCTTGCGCATAACCAAGGCGCTGGTTGCATCCATGTTTCCGATTCTGAGTATCGTGGCCCTCTACTTTGTCAGCTAGGAGCCACACTGGCAGTCATCGCAGGACTTACCGCAGTATTCGCAGTGACCTTGGCTCATTTCACTTCGGCAAGGCCCAAAGATGTCTTTAGTTCTACTGCGGCGTAAGTTTTGATCAACACGTTCGCTAGATTCGCAGTTTCTAACAATAAGCGATGGCAGGTTTTCCGCCGTGCTGGTTGTTTTTGTGGGCACAACCGAAACATAAACGTAGGCCTCGAGTCTGAAAGCGCCCAGTCGAATCACGGGCTATTTAAAGTTGATGGGAAGAATAAAAGAATGTGGAAAGTGTTTACATGGTGTTTATATGTCTGGGCCCTAGCATGCGTGATATCGAGAATCATGGCAGACTCTCTGTTGCTACCCTCACTCTATCCTTAATGGAAACAAGGGGTTTGGATAAGATTGAAACACATCCAAATATCACTGGCATCTCGTGCCTCAAATAACTCCAGCACACGCCATGTGCGGATTCGGCCCAAAGTTTTGAGTGCCTGCGACGGCCCAAGGGCAATTCAACAGATTCTCCCGCAAGATCATGCTCTGGATTCCAGGAGTGACACCAGCCCCTAGACTGTGCTCTTTTCGATCCAGCTCTTGAATCAAATCCATTTTAGGAACTGGTCTACGAGATATTCTTGAAAACAGCGAGGCCGGAGTACTGGTCTCCAATACCACTTGGTCCACAATATGGGCGCATCTCTCAAGTTCTCTCGAATAAATGCGAGCTATCAAATTGATCATAGGCAAGGTTGGTGTGCATGCCTTGCTTGTCACGGTAGTCTGTTCTCATATACTTCCGAAATCTTACAAGAATGGTGTACCGGTCCAAAGAGGTGAACAAAAGATACGCCCAAGCCAAACTCCCCTTGACTGTCGACAGAACTCACGGGGGAGTGGCTTCTTTCATCTGAGTGATAGCGTGAGCTCCTTCCATCCTCAGCCAAACTGCGTTGCTATCTGATGTTGGCACATACTTACTCCTGTGTCTATTCGTCCACTAAACGTCCTTTCCAGCAAGGTGTTCGCTTAGTCGGGTTACATGCGCCATCAAGTCTTTCACGGCGACTGTGGCAATGACACCAGATCTTTGGGTAGCAGTTGTTCGAGTATGTAACCTCCTGCGCATATCCCAACATGTCAGTTCACGCCATTGTGAACATTCGATATGCGAGCCACGTTCTAGCACATACCTGCAACCTCGAAGGCGCTGTTCCCAGTGATGTTGGCGCTGGTGGAACTCTTGGTGCTGAGGGCGTCCTCGCAGACATCTTCCAGTCTAAAATGTCCTTCCACTTGCCTAACTTCTAGAAACTTCTTTTCCGTCTTTGACCTCAAGGGTGACAGTATTTTCCAACTCGAACATGCCAGGCGGCACCCGTTTCTTCCACAAGCGCTGTGGCAGGCGATCCCCGTCGTTCGCCTCGAAATCTTCCACATCTCCAGGACACCACCAAAGACCTCGCGGCTCCAGTGCAATCTCGTAGTGTCCATCAGGCACCTTTGACAGCAAATCATCCAATTTCACCATCCTTGTCAAAAGATGGCCAGGCCTGGGAGTGACCAGATCATCCAGTTTGAGGCGTGGGTCGTATTTGGACGTATCGTGCAATGCGTAGATAGGTG